TAGTGAGTTAGTCCTCGTCCCTCATCCTCTCCCCCCTTCAGTCTGCATGATCCTGGTCTCCCTCTGAGCCCTGGGGACCTGGTATTGATCGGAGCTGTGTAGGTAGTGATTGGACATGAGTGGATAATTTCCTTTGCTGCATTAGAGTCCATTACTGGACTCGCTCTCCGGAAAGTGAAAGACATCCTCAAAAGAAAAAAAAACACAGCGAATGTTCTTGGAAATGGATTCTTCTCACAGAAATGATTTAACGTCTGAGGATCCTCCAAGTTTCTCTTCAGGTTTGGAGACGATGACGGAGAGAAGCGGCGTGGAGATTCCTGCTGAAACGCCTCATTTAGCCAAACCCAGCTGGTTTCTCACATTTATTCAGGGGAAACTGGCCAGGAATGATGACAGACTTTAATTCAGGGATCCCATGAGATGAACCAGAACACAGCATGGTCAAGAAATGTATTTAAGAATGCAACTCCCCCCGTTAAAACACAAATTAACTGTTGACTTTGCTTTGGAGGCCGATGTTACTAACACAAGAAGAAGAAATTATTTGGTCTAATTAGACTTTTTCACCTGCTCATGTAACTGTTCTGACATAAATACTGAGAAATTGTTTCTTGTGATAAACAGGAAAACTAGTCATTTAAAATCTGATGAGTCTGGAAAGATGGATGATTTCCAGATTTAATTCTCCTTCCAGGTTTGTGTTTTTGTTTCCATCCAATCAGCTTCAAGTCTTTATTTAAAGAACTCAGAGCAACAACAGGAACCCAGAGCAGGAACATCCGGCTGTCTGAGCTTACAGGGTTCGGTTTGTGGGAGCCTTAGATTCATAGCTGGCTTTTAAAAATGTCCAGAAAATGACTGAGAACCCAACTTTGACCTGCAGGTACCGACGGCAGGAAAACTTGGAAATTTGAACTTTTTTGTACTTTTTGAGGTGAATGGTGAATTACAGTCGTGCCTAGATGTCATCATTCACATACAGAAAATGCTCACTACATTTTGCCATATTCTGGCGCCCCCTCTAGGGCAGCGCCCCTGTGGGTTTACCCATTTTTATCACAACACAGTCACTTCCAATAACTTCCAGAAACTCCTGAATTTATGGCCATGAATGATTCTGTATTTAATTATTCGGGTCTTATCTCCTCCGCTGGATGAAAGCTGGTTTGTTTTGAGCTCCTGCTGATGATGAGGATGATGATGACAGCATCTGCGCGCCTGCAGGTGATTCCTTTAAGTCCAGGGGGAGGAAGAGGAGGAGGAGGAGGAGGAGGAGGAGGAGTGCAGCGGGTCGCCACGTTTCAACATATTACATATTCTCTGTGGCAGCCCGGTGACCTGGAGCCTCTTCCTGCTGGTCCTGATGCTGCCGCCGCTGCTGCTGGGATCATGAAGCAGCTCTTCCCTCCCTCTGGTTGCCTCTGGAAACTCGCCTCCTCCATCATATTAATGGGATAATAATGTGATTGATTGGTCATTTCCGCGGAGAAATGCTGTTTGCTGCTTCCTGAGCGCGCAGGGATCTTCAGAGAACTTTCCTCCTGCCGGTGAGGAGGAGCCGACAGGCAGGAGGTTCATTCAGGTTTTCATTTCCCAGCTTCTGCTCCGAGGAGGAGGAAGAGGAGGAACATGGAGCGCCTCCGCGGCTCTCCGGAGCGCATTAGGCGGTTCCAGCAGCGGGAGCTTCCGGCTGCTGATGTGCAGCTCTGCGAGCGGACCGAGCTGTAGCGGAACCGAACCGAGCCGGCTTTCAGCTGTCCCTGCGTCGCAGTAGAGGACAGGGAGGAGGAGGAGGCATCTATGCAATTTTATTTTGACTTTGCATTTTATTATGAGCGCAGAGGAGGGAGATGCGGGACCGGCGTGCGGGGAGGCGGCGGGAGCTCCGGCCGCCCAGCAGCGCCTCACCTGGGAGGAGAGCGACCCGCTCGGCTCCCAAGGACGTCCGCAGCCCGACGGCGAGGAGGAGCCGCAGCCGGGAGAGGATGAGGAGGAGGAAGAGGAGGCAGAGGGCCGCGCGCGTGCGGCTGACGCCGAGAAAATCAGCGGGGAGGAAAATGGGGGCAACACTTCCAGCGAGGAGGGGGCGGTGGGGGGCAGATGTGGCAAAACGCAGGCGATGCCTTCAACCTGCAGCAGCGAGACGTGCATCCCGACCCCGAGCTGCAGGATCTGCTTCCAGGGAGCCGAACAGGTAGGCTGCTGGTTCTACTGGTTCTACTGGGTCTGCTGGTTCTGTTCGCACATCTGTCACCAGCTCGACCCGATCAGATCACAAACTGCGGTTCTGTCTGTGGTGAAGTGAGGCTGAAGGTGAGCATGCTGCCCTGTGATTGGCTGACGGCAGCGGCTCTGCTGGCGATCAGAGCAGGAACCAGAACACGAACCCAAAGGCTTAACAAAGCCTATAACCTGTCTGAAGTGACCTCTGACCTCCCTGAGTTACCGCAGCCGCTCGTTGAAGACGTTATTTTATAAATTATAAAATGATAATTGAATTTTGTTACTATACACAATGAGAAAACCAAGATAGCAACTCTAGGAAAAGATATTTCTCTATATACAAAGTAAAACGTTTGTATACTGTACATCTATATCTACGTATAGATGTATGCATGTATAGATGTGCATCTATGTAAATCTATGCTGGTTCTACTGTGCATGTACATCCATGCATAGATGTGTGCATGGATAGATGCATACAGATGCATCAATCCATGCACACATCTATAGATGTATCTATAGATGTATGCATGGATGTACATCCATGCACAGTAGAACCAGCATAGATTTACATAGATGCACATCTATATAGATGTATGCATTGATCCATGCATGTACAGATCTATACATCTAGAGATCACATATCATTTTCTTCATCTGTTGTTCTAGACATGTACATCACTATAACTGTAGAATCACTGAGAGTTCTGTATTTTTATTTTTATTTCAGGAATAAATCTTTAAAAAATATTAAAATGAATGAAATAAAAAAACAATTCAAATGTGTAGAAGGTGGTTTGCAGTAAGATTAAACTTTTATTTAGTCCATCGTTTACAGAGCCTCATGAAAGTCGTGCTAACTTTCTGAATTGTTTCACTTTGTGTGACGTGACATTAGGGACGGGCTTTTATCCTATCGTTTATCGCATCTCAGGATAAAATTCTCATTAACATTTTGATTTATCAGAATGTTAAACTCGGGTGCAGATTATCATAAAATAAGTGATAAAGTCATAAAATGTGTTGTAAAACCCTGAGCTGCAGTGTATCTGTCACATCAGAGGTGCAGGACAGCGACCCAACCATAATCAGGTTAAAATCTCATCCCAAAGTGACGCACCAATTTGTCTGCCCGTCTTCCTGAAAGCGGATGGACAGACGTGGACGTGCGGGACAAATGGACCGTCAGTCCAGGCTGAAACCTGAGACGCTGCAGGCCTGTGACAGCAGCGATGAGGACGATTCATCGCTGCCAGAGCTGAAGGGAAGCAGAAGAACGGGCAGCAAGCGCCTAAGTGGACATCCTGTCCTCCCAACGTGGGCTCCAGCCTGTTAGCAGATCAAATCTAATAACTCCGCCTCCGGGTCCAGACTCATGGCTGCTGTGAAGCAAAGCCTGGAGGCTGGGAAGAGCTTAGTTATCTGCTCTTTAAAAACTGACCAAATCCACAGTTTGACTTTTTCTGCTGCCTAAAGTTGCATCATCAGATCAGTTTGATGAATTAAACTGAAGCTTTTCCTTAAGCTTCCACCTGTGAGAAACTTTTTATCTATTCATTAAAATGCAACATTACTGTCAGTAAAAGCCAATATTTCATCTTTAATCATAAAATGAATTTTTTAAGAGTTTTTATTGATTCCAGATCTGACATTTAGAGTTTTTGAAGTTCAGTTAGATCACTTATAAAACAATCCATCGACACCCTGCAAAACGTTTCATACCTCCATTACAACCACAGACTTCAGTCTATTTTACTGGAACGCTTTATAATGGATAAACACAAAGGAGTGAATCAGTTTAAACACTTTTACATGTAAAAGTCTCCACAGTGAAGCATGGTGGTGGCTGTGTCATGCTGTGGGTTCTATCAGCATAAACAGAGGAACAGGTCAGAGTTGACGGGCAAGGCAAGAAGAAAATCTGGTCAAGGTTAGATGGAATTTCTTGAGCTCAAAGCATATTGGCTAGCATGGCCTAGTCAAAGTCCTGAGGTAACGTTTGTGGTAATAGTTGAAAACAGTTAATTACAGGTGCTTGCAACCCAAGCTGGGCCCTCTAACTGCCAAAATATGGCAAAGAATATTTTTTTCAACATAGATTTCTGAATAAAAACATAGGTTTGATGTTTAGGTTACGAAAAATGTTTTTATTTAATTTCGTAATTATCCTCAATTTGTCACGCTCCACTAAACACAGAAATGGTTCTGACTTTCACTTTAAACAGCTAAATTACATTCAGATGAAAAAGGAAGAGGCACCGATACATCATGTCTGATGTCATTAAAGACAGGATGATGTGATGTCATCAATGACATCACATCCTGTTACTTCAGAGGTCCTTGAATAACACAGCTCTTAGCGTAGCGCACCATTGTTACCATGGCACGTAGGCGACGTCGCAGACGGCGCTCCTCCTACAGACGTAGGAGGAGGCGCTACTACAGGCGAAGGAGGCGCAGAAGCGGCTACTATCGCCGTAGACGCAGGAGATACCGCCGTCGTCGTTATTACTAGTCGCTCACGTTGACCATGTAGCAAGCATTTGAAAAACCACTAAAAAAATTCATAAAACAATTTTTAAAATGTCTATAGATAAATTTATACAATATTATAATGTGTGTGTAAGCTATATATTTTGTACATATATATGTAATGTACAGCGGCTTACCAAAGTTTTCATAACCCCTGAATTTTTCCATATTTGTACCCATTACAAGCACAAACATGAACATGTTTCATTGGACTTTTATATGAAAGGTCAACAACACAACATGATATTCAATCATGAAGTAGCAAGAAAATTATACCTGAATAAAGTGAAAAACTTAAAACAGGCAAATGTATTCAGCCCCTTTTCTGAGTGCAACCAGTTGCCTTCAGAAGTTGCCTGATGATTGCTGAAGACTGACTGGAGTCCAGCTGTGTGTGTGTAATCTAATTTAATCTAATCTCAGTAGAAATCCAGCTGCTGTGTGACGTCTCACATTATTGGGAGCAAACAGCATCATGAAGGAGCACAGCAGGCAGGTCAGGGAGAAGCTGTGGAGAGGTTTAAAGCAGGTCTAAAGATTTCCTCAGCTTCTGGATCTATCATCCAGAAATTGAACTGTAAACTCACCAAGACAGTTAATCTGTAGCGGGCCGGATTTGGCCCCCGGGCCTTCAGTTTGACCCAGGTGCTCTCTGGTTCGCGGGACTAACTTTTTAATGTCATGCTATAATGTTATTCCCTCATCGAAACCTTAATTTAAGTATGTTTTTGATTCTTTCATGCATGTTGGGGAAATCAACATGCATGAGACAGAGGCCCAATTTCATGGCATTAAATTATTAAGTCAAATTTCTTTTAGGGCTTATCTACAACAACTCATGGTGTCAGTTATACTTTCTATAAAATGGCACTATGTGCCCCTTTAAAACATGTTAAAGAGGCCGGATTGCAGATGACATCATCAGGTCAGAGGATTCTGACCTGATGATTCAGGTAGATGATGTCATCTGTGCCTCCAGTGTTTTAATCATTTTTTATTTCTTAAACATTATTTTTTATAATTTTTTCGTGGTTTTTCAACTGCTTGCTACATGGTCAACGTGAGCGACTAGTAATAACGACGACGGCGGTATCTCCTGCGTCTACGGCGATAGTAGCCGCTTCTGCGCCTCCTTCGCCTGTAGTAGCGCCTCCTCCTGCGTCTGTAGGAGGAGCGCCGTCTGCGACGTCGCCTACGTGCCATGGTAACAATGGTGCGCTACGCTAAGAGCTGTGTTATTCAAGGACCTCTGAAGTAACAGGATGTGATGTCATCGATGACATCACATCCATTGATGTCTTTGATGATATCGATGGATGTGATGTCATCGATGAGATCACATCCTGTTACTTCAGAGGTCCTTGAATAACACAGCTCTTAGCGTAGCGCACCATTGTTACCATGGCACGTAGGCGACGTCGCAGACGGCGCTCCTCCTACAGACGCAGGAGGAGGCGCTACTACAGGCGAAGGAGGCGAAGCAGCGGCTCCTATCGCCGTAGACGCAGGAGATACCGCCGTCGTTGTTAGTCGCTAACGTTAAATATGTAGCAAGCAGTTTTAAAACAACTAAAAAAATCTAAATATTTAGATTATTTTGTAATAAATAAAAAAATGTATTTAGATCAGTGACGTGCGGTCAGGTGAGGCAGGTGAACCCCTATTTATAAAGATATTTTCACCCTGTGGTTTGTATTATAAAGTAACCAATTTTTATTTAATTTAACCAAATCTGATTATTTTTTCTCTTCAAAATTGCTGATTTTTCGCATTTTCCCATTCAAATGCTCAGAAGCGAAGCCGGTGAGGCAGCAGCGGGATTGCGCAACATCTTGCTAACTGCACCGGTTGCCACTCTATGAGAGCATGTTCGTCCTGTCTGTACGTCGCCAATAAAATGGTTAAAAACATTTCATGTATGAACTGATTTTCCATAATTTAGCTTATGTATTTAATGTACTGTGTTTTTTGTCACCAACTGTGTGTGTAACGTGTTTCGTGTGCTGAGGAGCGATCAGAAACGGCAGAGAACAGATTCGAGGTGAGGCAGGCAGTTCTCGTGCCTCATGGCAGGGGGCGCTCATGAACCCAGACATTGTGACTCCACAACTGCAGAGTAAGAGACAGTAACAGCGAGCTAGCCATACAGTAGCTGCGCTGATACAGAGAGCGAGAAAGAAGTGGTTTTGAGTTGTACTTTAACGGTTTCTCCCTTTGCTGTTAAGCACAGCACGAAATTAATAATATCTACATGTCTAAGTTTGATTGAGATAACGGAACTACTCTGCGGCGGCGCAGCTAAGCATCACATGTTAAAGAATAGTCTTTTTTGCCCTCCAGCATTGTACGCATGTGCGAAATTTCCTCAAGTAAACAATAACATGCAGGGGGTCTAGATTTGCAAATCCGATTATAATTAAGTCGGTGCCTCACCAGCTA